TCTTCCTCCTCGTCTTCCTCCTCGTCTTCCTCCTCGTCTTCCTCCTCGTCTTCCTCCTCGTCTTCCTCCTCGTCTTCCTCCTCGTAGACTGGGGCCTCATACATGGTCGGGTCGCAGAAAGCAATCTGGGCGGGAGGTTGTTGGCCGTTCGTTCGGCCTCGGGGGGCCCTCGCCGGGCCCTGGGGGCCGTGAGAGCACGACTCGGGAGGAGAAGCCGGTCCTGGGGAACGGGTCGGGGCTGCCAGGGATCCCGCATTGAAAAAATCAGGACGTCGCATGTCTGGGTTCATCGGCTGCGTGCCCAACGGGGGAAGAGAGCCGCCACAGGTCAGGATTAACCAACTGGGCCCAGCGACACATCGATGATCGTCAGGGCGGATATCAATGCCAGTGTGTGCTTGTCCACCGAAGCACTGAAAATGCGACGCATGCAGCGTCACGGGGGCTGACACAGGCTGCGTGCAGCTGAACGAGGAAAGCTGAGACGAAGCCAGGACGAGGATAAATTCGGGCGGGGATTCATCGAGAAGCTCTGAGATCTGGCAGCTCTTGAGCTCGCCGCCTCCTGGCATTTTTTTCTCGCCTCGGGAGGCTCTCTAGCGGCTAGGGCGCTCCGGGGGTACCTCGGCGGTGGACACACCTCCCTTTTGTAAACCTCCCCTTGGTGAAAACGGCCTGGGACCGAAACCGTCGGACCTGGACCCGCAAAAGTGACGGCGGCGACGCCCTCTCGCAAACCGAACACGGCCCATTCCTCAATCGACATGTCAGGCAGGGTGGGAGGTCCGTCCAACCCCGAGTACCCAGATCTTCCCAGGCGGCCGCCGGAGATCAGCCGCGTGAACGTCGCTGTGGCGGTGCTGCGACGTCGCTCTGCAGACGCATATGCTGCGCGGGCGGGCCTGCCCTCTCCTCCAGCACTCGTGCGTCGTCCTGCCGACGGGCGGGCGTCGACGACTCCACGAGAGAGAGGAGACCGACGGCGGCGAGCTCTCGTGGTGACGGCGTCGGCCCTGGCTTCCGACACCGAGCGAACGGCTAAGCTGTTTCGGCGTGGAGCACTCGATCTCCGACGATCTGGTTTTTCAGCCGTCGGCTTGTCCTCGACCGACCTCGGCCCTCCGGGGCCGCGTTCGGGCCTTGGGGGCAATCAGCAAGAAGTCTCCTCCTCCTCCTCCTCCTCCTCCTCCTCCTCCTCCACCAACCTATACCTCCTCCTCCAACCCCCTCCTCCACCTCACCCCTACCACCTCCACCTCCCTAACCTCCTCCCCCTCCCCCAACACCCTTCTCCTCCTACCCTCCTCATCCTCCTCCTACCTTTCCACTCCTCCCTCCACCTAATCCTCCTCCATCACTTATCCTCCCCCTCCTCCACCTCCTCCACCACCACCTCCTCCTAACCACCTCACCTCCTCCCCCTCCCACCACCTCTCATCCTCCTCCTCCTCCTCCTCCTCCTCCTCCTCCTCCCATCAATCAAACTGGCCATCCTACTCCCTAACCACCCTCTCCTCCAACCTCCATCCCTCCTCCTCCTACGTCTATCCTCCTCCCCTCCATCTCCTACCTTCCTCCTCCTCCTCCTCCTCCTCCTCCTCCTCCTCCTCCTCTGGTGCGTGAAGCGACCTCCGAGGAAGCGGTCGGGGCCTCTGGGGCCGCGGACTGAAGAAGAACAGGACTGGCGGATGCCGGGGCATGCGCTCGAGATGCTGGCCCGCGAGGGCCTCGCCAAGAAGTCGAACGTGAGCGCGGTGTGCTGAAGTCTATCAAGCCTGCCATTGCACAACGGCGTCCGCGACAGCATGGTACTCGGAGCCTAGCCTAGCGAAGTTGTCGGCCCAAGCATTACCTAGGCAATTCATTGCACCAGTCGGCGAGTTAGCGGCGACGACATTATCGTCCCAGGCACGGTGGTCGGGGGTGCACTCAAAGGTGGGGGTCGAATCGCCATCACCATACGAGCCGAAATCATTATCCACACCTTCGCGTGCTTCGAGCCACTCGAGGCCAACTCGTGGCTCTGAGAGGAGCCTCCGCGCACAAAGTTGAAGTGGTCAGAAACAACATGGCCGTCCAAGGGGCCATCCTGAAGCGCCTTCTTGAAGATCGCAAGGGCCCGAGGCACCGACTGGCGCCGCCCAGGGAGGGCCCCGAAAACGGCGCGCACGGGTGACCCGCTGGAGCTCAACTCGACGGCGGACCAACCACACCTATCTCAGTTCGGGACTGGAGCTGGCCAGTCCCGAACCGTCGGCGTAGATGGTCCGCCCCCAGGGCGCTTCGGTCGCCCCCCATGAGCAGACAGGGAGCGCGTCGGGAACGGGGCAGGGGGGAGATGTCCTCCAGCGGGAGTCCATAGAGAACCTCGAGGGCGTCCCAGTGCTGGACCCCAGCTTCAGAATTCCCTTGCTCCCGCAGCCCAGACCTGCGCTCCAGGACGTCATCAGGGATGGCTTGATCTTGCGTCCCTGGGTAGTCCAGCGCAGGATCGCATCCATAGATCTGGTGGCCAAGAGAGACGACTACGTTTCTATCGCAGAACGCGGATTCGTCGCTGTCGGCATACCCATCCTAAGACTTAGAAGGTTGCGGCCACATGGCGTGCCCGATCAAACATCTGAAGGCGCCTCTCCTAGCAGCATCCTTGATATTTAAGATTCCGTGCCTCGGACCACGCATCGCACGCGCGCTCGGCGCCTGAGGCTTGCAGCATTTGACTTAAAATACAATGGGCCTGCCAGCACTGGAGTCCGACCTGCAGCTCTGCCTTCAGATCGCGACGCGAACAACGGAGTATGTCGAAGGCGACGCCTTCGTCTGAATTAATAACGCGCGCTGCGGACATCGACCAACCTACCCGTTTCGGCGATGACGGCGCTGATCGGTCCGCGGCATCAAGTCCAGGTAAGTCGCTGTGCGATTTTATCTCTGATGCACATCCAAGCGCGCTGCCGTCGTCCTAGCGAGAACCTCGCTCCCCCAATCATGCCTACGTAACGCTGCGCAAGGGGCGAGGTGGCATCGTGCACAGGGTCGAAAAAGGGGTCGGGTTGAGTCGCTGGCCAAGCTGCGGGTGATCCCGACCGACGCGCGCGCGCCTGCAAGCGCTCCTGCTAGAGCGCGAAGCGACCTCAAAGATGGGTCAGTCAGCCCACTCGCGCTCGCACCGTGGCCTACTGCTGGCATCCCGCCAGTCCCCCAAAGCACCTGCACCTTCCCTGGGGCCCCGCGACGCAGCGCAGCAGGCTCGTGGCGCCGGCGCGTGGCCTCCTGCAGCCCAGCGCTGTCCCAGGCCTGCTCGGGTCTTCCAGAGGGAACTTCATGGCCCAGATTGCGCGCTTGGGTGCAGCTGCGCAGTTTGAGAATGCGAGCAGACGACGACGCTCTCGACGACGCTCTGGCGGCGGTGGCTACAAACCAACTCTCGCGCACTTGCAGGACCAGCCCGAGCTTAAACATCTGCTCGCAGCACCAACGTGCCGCGGCCAGCAGCACGTCGCACTCGCTGAATCCTCTGCCTGCCCACAGGAAGCGAGAATCGTCCATGAGAAGGCGTGGCTGCGCAGTCCTATATATCCTGGTCATCTTGCTGACCGCGCGGTGCAGCAACATCTGCATCGGCGTTGGTGCGGCTGCAGCCAACCAATATCCCATGGTGAGAGACATCGGACCGATACGCCGAACCCCAGGCCAGCTCCAGGCGAGGACACGGGCGCAACGATAGGAGCGCCCAAATCATTCTCAAATGATATTCTGTCTCGCGCGCCTCCGTGAAACATTTCGCAACTGCGACGCGCTCGTGCCATTTAAACAGATCAAGAAAAACGCCGGCAGAGCATTCCCCCGCCGCCGTCGCCACCTCCACCCCCGCATTGTGATCGAAGGCGGCGGCCGAGGAGCTCGCTCTGGGGCCGTGGCCCCGAAAGGCCGCGCGGCGGTGCTATCGCTCCCGCGACTGCGAGACAGGCTTTCTGAGCCTGCCCCACAGGCGCAACAGCGAGTTGACTTGCGCAACGAGACGGCGCCCGCCAGTCGGCTTGCCAAGCCGAACCAAGCGGGTCTGAATGCGATCTAGTGGCCGCGAGTGCAGCCTCTCACGTGCCATGGAGAGGGGCGCAAGGGTCTCCAGAGCATCCAAGCCCGCGTCGGACACCTGGCACAGCGACTTCGGGTTGAAAGCGAGCTGGCCCAGCGCCGTCTTGGAGGGGAACGAGGCAGCCGCTGACCTGACGTCGCTCGCGGAGATAGGTGGCCAGTTGCCCCGCGAGTCCGCGCCGCGCCTCCGAGCGCCGGCGCATGTCCCAAATATTCTCCCACTCGCCAAGACAGTCGCCAGCTCGTTGGAAGGGTTGCGGCTTCGTAATATCAGCAGCCGTCTCTTGGAGCTTCTTGAGCCGCGAAAACCACTGAGCCCCGCCTGCGCCGCGTAGGATGGACCTCTCTGCCCGAGCAGTCCAATCAGCACTGTGCTCGGTCGAGAGATCCTTGATCTCGGCGTTCGCGCAGACGATCAAGGCTTGGGCCGCGCCGTCAAAATTGGCGTCGATAGTAATCGACGGCACGTCTGTCATAAACGCGCGAGCGTCGGAGGAGACCCGTTCCAGCACCCGCTTAGTCCTGGGTGCCTTGCGCGAGAAGTCACTGAGGAATGGCAGCTGCTGGGGCATGGCCACGAGGTTAACTTCGAAGTGCCCGCCGTGGAGGCCGGCCACCTGCGACGGCGACTTCGTCCGAGCAGACCGCGGGTAGCGCAGCTAGCGAGACTGCGTCTTCCAGGCATCGGGGTCCGACGGCTCACTGCGCCGCGGCTCATTGACAGCTTTCCACTCGCGTCGAGGCGGGCCCGCGCGTCCGAGGTGAGCCGTGCGAGCTGAATGTGGGCGTCCATGGGGCCCAGCAGCGCCGGCAGGCTCTTGGACGCGTAGAAGAAATCCAAGGTCGTGCCTGGGGCAGAGGAGATGCGCGTGGGCAAGTCAGCACCAACCCTAACCCCTCGCACCGCGTGGAACCACTCGTCCACCTTCTCGCTTTCCGAGTTCCAGTCGCCTCCGATGATCAAGTGCTCATTCAGGATGTTGAGCTTGTGCGGGCGCTCTACGGTTACGGGGGGCTGCTGGCGCTCTCGCCCTGCATGCCCGCAGTGACGACCAAATAAGCAGACTGCATCGCGATGCCATTGGGGCGGCCCCAATGCACCTGCGCTGCTGCAGCTCTCCCAGGGCGCACTTCGCGTGGAATGCCTGTGGGAGGGGCCGAGACCAACGCGTTGCTCGGGCCCCGAATGGCCACTCCCCCCGAAGTCCCGCCTCTGTCCGCAGGCGCGGCAGGGGCCCGGGCGCCTCCGAAGCCCTCGGAGAAAAGCTTTGGCTTGGAAATTCGCAAGCTTGTCTCCAAGAGCGCGATGTTCCTGGACTATCGGGATGGATTTGCCCAGATGAGCTGTGCCTAGTACGTCGAGCAGCGGGCCGTAGGGCGACGCACCGGCAGCGGCCGCTTATCCTTTAACCTCTCATGCCGGGCAGGGACCAGACATGCAAACACATTCACTCAAATTTGCCCCTCTAGGTCCACCTCTTCGACTTTGGGCACGCCCGTCAGGAAAGCGCCCTGTCTCCCCAGCAAAATGAAGTGGACTCCTGCGTCGCGCAGGTGGCACTCGCCCCTCCCCCAACGCACCCGCAACGCCCGAACCCCGGGGTACTTCGCGATCGAATCGGGCAGAAGGTTTGGACGAGGCGCCATCCCCGTCATAGGCGGACGGCGCAGACCGCTGGAACGACCCTGTCCATGGAGACGTGTAGTCTGGCAGCCTGATATTGAGGGTGCCCGCTGAGACTGGCGCTGGCGCAATCACGGGAGCAAGACTGACAAAAAAATAATCACACTTCCGTTATTGGCTTCTTCTGGCACGGGCCGAGAGCCCCCCCTCCCCCGGCCACCTTATGGCCGCGCGGAGCTCAGCTTCGTCCGCGGGCGGGCCGCCGCCGAAAACCTCCTTTTAGAAGCCGTCTAGATCAGGCGGGTCATCTTCAGCAGGCTGAACGCGAGGCTGGGCCACTGGTTCTGGCACAGTACGTTCGCCACCTGCAGGTGAAGGCTGCCGGGGCGAATGCGGCGGCTGGGCTGCGCCCCCAGCTGCTGAGGCGGCAGCGGTGGCTGAGGCAGCGCCTCCTGCGGCGCGCTCAGCTGCGGCGCGTTCTGCAGCTTGGCGGTCCAGTCTGCGCAGCTCCTCGAAGTTCTCGGCTGCCCTCTTGGCAGGGCCGCCGTCGGCGCCAAGCCCAGCGCGGAGTTTGCCCGGGGCGCCCACGTCCATGTCAATGCACGGGGTCGCTGCACGCAGCGAGTGGACTCCAGGCTCTGGCTGAGGCCCCTGCGTGGCCACCATGCGCCGAGCAGTCTCTGCCTCCAGCAGCTCCTGGGCGGTCTCGACCATGGCGGCCTTGGCATCCTCCCGCCAGCTTCTCCTTGAGCTTGGTGACGGCAGCCTGCTGGCGCTCCTCATTGTTCTTCTTCTTCTTCTTCTTCTTCTTCTTCTTCTTCAGCGTGGAGCGCCAGTTGGTGGGCAGGTGGAGCTTGGCCCCGATCGGCTTGTCGGCCAGCGCCTTGGCGCGGAGCGTGGCCTGCTGCTGGACCATCTCCTTCTTGTGACGCGCCAGCACAGGTACTTGGGGTTGCCGATGGCCTGGATCGCCGCGGCGAGCTCAACCGGCGCCTCCTGGGCATCTGGCTCGACGACCTCGTCCGTTTCCATGTCGTCGACCCCTGGCGTCGCTGCCAGCAGCTCCTCGAGCTGGGCAATCTCTCGGCTCTTCTCCTGGAGAGCGGACTTGGTAGCGCGCTCCGCCTCCGCGGCAACCTTGTGCTCAAGCCCGACCTTCTGCTTGGCTGAGACTGGCGGGGCGCTGCCTGCTGGCCTCTCCTTTGGTCCGAAGAAAGTGAGGCTTTCGGGCTGACCGCAAGACCCGCGCTCCTTCCTGTCTGCATGGATCCACCAACGCTCGCCAGACTTGGGATGGGTGCACCACTTGCAGAGCCACTGCGGCGCATTCTGCAAGCGTTGCTTCTGGAAACCATTGGCTGTCATGCAGGAGGAGGAGGAGGAGGAGGAGGAGGAGGAGGAGGAGGAGGAGAGAGGAGGGAGAGGGGGGAGGGATGAGGAGGAGGAGGAGGAGGAGGAGGGGAAGGAGGAGGGGGAGGATGAGGAGGAGGGAGGAGGAGGGAGGGGAGGAGGAGGTGAGGGGAAGATGAGGTGGAGGGTGGAGAGATGGGAGGAGAGAGGAGGGAGGAGGAGGGGGGAGGAGGAGGAGGAGGAGGAGGAGGGAGGAGGAGGGAGGGAGAAAGGAGGGAGGGAGGGAGGCGGAGGAGGGAGGGGGGAGGAAGAGGAGGGGAGGAGGAGGAGGAGGAGGAGAGGGAGGAGGAGGAGGAGGAGGAGGAGGAGGAGGGAGGAGGGAGGAGGAGGTGGAGGAGAGGAGGAGGGATGAGGGATGGGAGGAAGGATGATGATGATGTGATTGATGATGATGATGATGATGATGATGATGATGATGATGATGATGATGATGCTGATGATGATGATGATGATGATGATGATGATGTGATGATGATGATGCCGACGATGAGAGGAGGGATGTGAGGAGGAGATGATGAGGAGGAGGAGGAGGAGGAGGAGGAGGAGGAGGGGGGGGGAGGAGGAGGAGGGAGGAGGGAGGAGGGAGGCGGAGGAGCGGGAGGGAGGAGAGGAGGAATGAGGAGGAGGAGGAGGAAGGAGGAGGAGGAGGAGGAGGAGGAGGAGGAGGAGGAGGAGGAGGAGGAGGAGGAGGAGGAGGAGGAGGAGGAGGATGAGGAGGAGAGAGGAGGGAGGAGGAGGAAGAGGAGGAGGGAGGAGGAGGAGGAGGGAGGAGGTCTGGGGTTGTTCTCTTCCCTGGCCTGCCACTGCGGCTGCCGCGGGGCCTGCACCCACTTGCCCCGGCCGCCGCCGCCGCCCGCGGCCTGCCACGCGGGCGCGGCGGGGGGCTGCAGCATCTGGGGCGCCCCTCCTGGAGGGTCGGCGGCGCAGCACGGCTTGACGAGCCTTCGACGTATCCCTATGCCTAAGACCGGCAGGCCAAGAGTTCGGTCGGGCACGTCCGCCTTTGTACCCTTTGTAGGCGCGTAGGTAGAGTTAGATCGACCAGCCAAGAGTTTGGACGAAAAAGGAAGATAGTCAAGCAATACTCCACCCTTCCCAGACTATTTTGATTAGTTTTGTATCCTTCAACGTACACGTAGTTCATTTCTAATCGTGCTCGTTTCTAATTGTGCTCGTTTCTCACTGGTCTTGGCCCCCTGGTGGCCAGGAAGAGGCGCAGGATAGAACAATTAGAAATGAAAGGACCTTGGCCACCCCCAAAAAATCAAAGACCTTTCGAAGCATTAGAAATGAAGCATGTGAATCCCTATGTCGAGATCGACAGGCCAAGAGTTAGGTCGGGCATGTCCCCCTTTTTGGGTGGGTAGGTAGAGTTAGATCGACCAGCCAAGAGTTTGGACGAAAAAGGAAGATCGTCAAGCAATACTCCATCCTTCCCAGACTATTTTTGACTAGTTTTGTATCCTTCAACGTACACGTCGTTCACTTCTAATCGTGCTCGTTTCTAATTGTGCTCGTTTCTCATTGGTACTGGCCCCCTAGTGGCCAGGAAGAGGCCCAGGATAGAACACTTAAAAATGAAAGGACCTTGGCCCCGCCAAAAGTCAAAGACCTTTCGAGGCATTAGAAATGAAGCATGTGTATCCCTATGCCTGAGATCGACCGGCCAAGAGTTAGGTCGGGCATGTCCTCCTACAGGCCGATTTTGGACGAAGAAGAAAAGAATAGTCAAACAATGCTCCAAGTGGTCTAAAAATCCCCCCAGAATTCCTTCCCAGACTATGTTTTGGACAAGTTTTGGATATCTTCCTCCTGCAGAGGGACACGCCCGACTTGAGCCAAGAGGCGGTGGCAATCTCAGGGATGTGCCCTTAGAAGCTGCGGGGCTCCCTCGGATTGGCGTCGGGATCAGGCGATGCCAGGCGGCGGCCCCAACCCAACCCGAAGACCCCAATTTCGGGTTTGGGGGGGTACGGGTTCCATATGTGTTTTTTCAGTGTTCCCCGACCCCCCCAACTGGAAATGGAGGGCAAATTGAGGCCTTCGGGTTGGGTTGAGGCAGTTTGGTGGTTGGTGGGGATATGCTTCGGGCTGGTCGTGGCCGGCTGCCCCATCGGCGGCGTGCCCGGGGGGGAAGGAGGAGGAGGAGGAGGAGGAGGAGGAGGAGGAGGAGGAGGAGGAGGAGGAGGAGGAGGAGGAGGAGGAGGAGGAGGAGGAGGAGGAGGACGCGGACGAGAGGAGGAGGAGGAGGAGGAGTATGCTCGGCGGCGCGCCGCGGGGGGAAGCTCGGTGGCGTCTGACGCTTCCGCCGGTTCCCTGCGGCTTGGGAGCACCAGGGGGTGCCTTTTTCAGCAGCGGGGCCTCGCCGAGGGCGTTCGCTCCGGGGGAAGCTCGGTGGCTTCCGACGTTTCCGTCGGCTCCCTGGGGTTTTCGAGCACCGGGGGTGCCTTTCAGCAGCGGCGCATCGCCGAGGGCGTTCGCTCGGGGTGCCTGGATCCTCTCGGGCAGCCGCCGGAGGCCTGGGTTGCAGCCCGGAAGCCAGTCTCGCCGAGCGCCTTCCACCACTCGCAAAGTGCCTGCTCGCAAACGTCTGAAAAAAACACCTGTCTGCTTTGACAGAACTGATCGTGGATCCCCAGCGAGGGATCCAGGCCATTTGCGAGTAGGTACTTTGCGAGTAGTGGAGCGCGCTCGTCGACAGTCGGCGGCTCGCCGAGGAGGGGAGCGAGAGAGGGGGCCGGCCCTCTCAGAAGGCGGCGGGCCTCGTCGGCAGCCCATCGGGCCTTCCGAGGAGCCGCCTCCCCGTCTCCGGAGGAGGCTCGGAGAGCTTCGCGCAGAAGGCCGGGAGGCCCTCCCTCCTCCCTTCTCCTCCTCCTCCTCCTCCTCCTCCTCCTCCTCCTCCTCCTCCTCCTCCTCCTCCTCCTCTACGAGGAGCTACTCCGCTTGGACCC